AGCTGTCCTTTGGAAACATCAGTACTCTTAGGGTGTCTATTATCCACCCTAACACCCCTCTGTCCAAACGAAACTGATGGATTTCAGTCCATCTGCAAAGAGTACCTTTATCGTTAAGTCAAACCAGTTCGTGGACACGATCTCCGGTTAAAAGTGCGTTTCTTTTCCATCTTTAACACCTGTGAGAAAATGACAGTGGAAGTGCCATAACTTTGTCAGGCGTTACCCGGGGTAAAAATCAGCAGCTACACTTTAACGCTTCCGCTGAGCTTTTCCGACAGGGACTCACAGAAGCTTCTTGTTTATGTTAAATAGCGAATTCTACCACAGAGTCTGCCGGTATGTTCGATAGAGTTTGCATGTTTTACTATGTGCTTTTGAGGGTAGTTAAGTTCCTCCGTTGTTATCAAGGACCACGATTGCCGCAAGGACAGATTAATCAAACCTCTTTCCGGCAATTTTGGACGTCACGATTGCATAGTTGACTACTGGGATGATTGATTAGTCGTCTGAATGATGATGATGATGATGATGATGATGATGATGATGATGATGATGATGATGATGATGATGATGATGATGATGATGATGATGATGATGATGATGATGTTTATATAAGCTAACCGGACAATTTCGTTGCAGGTTTTCCATGGGGAAGTAGTGGAGCACTAAAGTTAACTGCATTATAACATACGACGGATGAAGTTGTGTTCTTCCGCGTGAGGTAAAATGATACCCACACAATACATCAGGAAACGTAATGAGAAGATCAGGGGGACGGCGGTGGCGGTGGTGAGGGTCGATTGAGGTTTCCTAAGACTTCAATGGGCAAATTAAGTCGATAAGTAATACCACACACCTAGGACAAACTGTAGGGAATATCATGCACGTCAGTCTTATTTTAAGAAGAAACTCTAACAAGCAGGACCGATGCAACCTAAGCTCATTTTAGGAAATGACCGTAGAGAGGTTAAAATGCTATTTAAAGGAGACCGGGAAGATGTAGGAAAAAACCAAATCAGACACACAGGGGGAAGCCTACCGGACGAGGTCTGACTCGGCGCCTTGCGGGCTTCACTCACGAAGTGGGCAGAACAGTGCTTCTGGCGCAGTTCAGCGTTGCAGCGACCGACGTCACTCACACAGCAGGCGACAGCCGCCGACACGACGGCAACCTCACCGGCGCCACTGCAATCCGTGATCATGGCTCGTCGTCGACACTGGTGTGCAACGTGTTGACGGGATCGGCAAGCAGGCCGGGCATTGGAGGGCATAAAACTGGAAAGCTGTAACGGGTCAGCATAGACTGGGCGGCAGTCAGTGGTGGTCGGCTGATGACTGGTGAACGGGGTGTAAATCAAAGGCACCAAAATGGCAGAACGAGGTGGCGTTAACAAATCGCCAACCCCTGCTCGCGCAGGCAGTGGCGGGGGGTGGGGTTGGAGGCAGGGAGCATCACAGAGACTGACAGAGGGCGGCAATTTGTTGGCTTTTCTATCGCTCCTTCGGAGTTGCTGCCTGTTCGCATCTGCTGTTGCTACCTGGTGTGATTTGCGGCTGTGAAAAATATCTGAGAGAGGTTTCTGCAAGCGATGAGAACGGAAGGTTGACTGCGATCGACTGCGGATTTGTGGAAGTGCCGAGGAATCAGCTGGCCGAGATATTTCAGGGAAGCTGTTAGGTGGAGACGGCACAACGGTGGCGAAGGAGGAAGCACATGGAGGCAGTTTCTCCTTTCTTAATTTTGGGTTTTTACCAAGCCCTAAAAAGTTTTGCAATCGATGAAAAATCGAGTCCGAGTCAGGTGTGCGCACTCTAGCTGCTTCGACACCAAATGAGGACTGGCATGTAAGGGGATGTAGGGGTGGCTTGCTTCTCTGGGGTGCGGTTGCTTTGGAAGACTTAGGAGCCGTTAGGATCTGCGAATAACACTTCTGTGAGCGCATAGGAGGAGTGGGACGACGGTGGTGATTACGAAGTAAATCTTCCTCACATGTAGTGGTCTTGGAATTGTCACGGGAGGCCAGAACGACGCAAGAACGTCTGTCGGGAGCAGATGGACATGCCGATTTTGAGCGTAAAACGGACTTTGGTGCATTCACATCTTCCAAAGGAAAGAATATCTCAGAAAGGACCAGACTCCTTACTGTTGGCCGACGAATAGCTGAATCAGGTGAGCAGTTCGGGTTTCGAACAAAAACAGCAGAAGTTGGCGAGGGTCCCTGTGTTGAGATCTGGGAGAACACATACTGTGGTTGCTGTTGCAGGTTGCTACACCTTTTCGGCACACCCGTGATCATGTCGGGAGAAGATGTCTTGATTGAGGCGCTCGTAGCTCACAGAAATATTCGTCCGGAAGGATGAGTAGGGGGAGTCAATCAACTTTAAAATGCAGTTATACAACTGGTGCCAAAGGCGTGGTAGTATTCGTCCTAGCGCATGACAGAACGCACTGAGAGATGTTGCACGACCTGATTTTCAGCGCGTAATTCCTATTCACCGGCCGAAGTTGGGGCAGCTACAGAACAGAAAAAAACGTAAAAGAAGTGTAAGATGGTGCACACAACTACTCTTCTGACAACGCTTTCGATCGGTTTTGGATACCATTAATCGATTTTCCTGATAGAACTCCGAGAGGTTAGTGCAAAATTACCAGACCCAAACTCGCCGTCAATTTATCGAACGAGAGTAGAAAAGAAGTCAAGAGTATCGCAAGGACAACACAGGGCGGTTGTCGGAAGCGAATAGACGTCACAATGGACAGAGCTTTCGGTCAGTGATGAGGTTAAAGGTCGCGATTTCTACAACGTGGCGGTCAAGGTTTTCCAGTTGAGTTCAGTATAATAGCAGTTCTAATTCACCTTCTGAACCTCGGTGTCTGATCTTTGATTTCTCCGTCTACTATCAGATAGCATAGACAGACTGCCATTGGAAATAACGCTCAGGATGAATGAGGGTGGTGGCTCTGCATAGTGAAATCGATGGCAGTGATATTCCATGATTATTGACTAGTTTGCCCTATATAACCATCTGCGAAGACCCTGGATCGGCGCTCCAATACAACACGGCAGGCCATTACTCCGTCCTGAAAATGGTTTAGGCTGGTGGATGTCATCTCCTCGTGACTGAATATCCCCGATAGGAGCCAACAAGGTGTGAGCCCATAGGTAGAGCCAAAGCTCAATGACAGACCAGAGCTGAATTCAAAATCGGTCTTTTCAGCCTGGGATCAGAATATAGTCGGAAAATAAGCTACAGATATTAATTCTAGCTTTCCTCGGTTTCGTCAGTAATACTTCTCGGTTATGGTGTTTTTCCCCAAGCGATAAATGATTGCATTTTACTGAACAGTTTACAGCACTCGCATCGTTGCCTGACTGTACAGCTGGTTAATACAAAAAAATAGTAAATGAACTTCAGATAGTGGAAAGAGGAAGATTGGTAGAATATTTAAAGCCTTGAGACTCGGAAACAATTGGAGTCTTCGGAGCCAATGAGCACCGGTCAAGTTACGGGCTAGGTGAAAGCCAGGGAATCCTAGTCCGTTGTGGTTGCACTTAGAACGAACTTTTTGGTAAACCCTCAAAAACAAAGTTTATGATGTTCAGTTCAGAAAATGATCACTTTCACAGGGTAAGTTGGTCAACGGAAAGAAATTCGTAAGAAACTGCGAGCACTATCAGGGACCTTGGAAGCGCCTTCCAAAGGTGATGTTTATCTTAAGTTCATTTGCAGAGGCGACTGAGGTAACTGCGAAACATCCCGGACTATTTATCCTTTATGCCACATTAGGATTAATAAATACTGGCTGTGCAATGAAACAGAACTAGATATCTTGCCTGCCAAAAGTACTTTGAGTGCATACTTTGCAAATTTAAAGTGGAACTGTGCCCGAAAACATACGGTAATAGGTAAAAAGGGACTATTGAGCCGCAAAGGAATTTTAATAAGAGTGGGGGTAATTACTCAAAAAGCTGAAATGTGAAGGATTGCCTGTTAGAGTGCAAAGGCCAGGTAATTGAAGACTGTGATATGAGCGGAAAAGTATGATTTTCCAAGCAGAATTTTTTAAAATAGTTTAGATGACTTGTACAGCTCAAGAAACTCGTCATAGAGCCCAGGGAAAATGGCGCACAGGGAGATTTATAACTCTTCAAATTCAGATTGGAAAACCAATAAATTCCACGAAGTGTACGCCCAACTCCTACAATTTCAATCATACATTTGGAAAAAATGAACTTAATATGGTTGTGGTCATCCGTGACTTGGCCAGCCACAGCGATGTTCTGTATAGCGCCGCCCCATTCGTGGCTAATTATGGTAGCGAATCAAGTGAGCTCATGAGGTTAGGGCTTCTTGGGAGTTTTGAGTATAGGCGGGTGTCCAACAGCCGTTCGGATTGTTTTTCTGAGACTGTTTCATCTGGCGCTTTAGTTTAAGAGCCTAAATACAAGGCAGCGATGTCAAGCAAGCTTATTTAATGGTGGTTCACGATTTCTATGTCCCACTGCCGTCATCGGGCTTCGTGACTTTCAGGGTGCCAGACCCAGTCCTCTGCACCCTGGTAGCACTGTCGCTGCTGGTCCGCGGCTGCTTATTCGTCAGACCCGGGTCTGTTTATTTTGCAACTAACTTTCACTGAAGGCTGTTCCACTATCCTCCATCTGTGGGCGCGCTCGGTATCCAGCAACTAGGCGAACAGGCAATCCGTCCTCCCGGAAAATTAGCTTGATTAATTCGCGTCCTCTAGAAGTCATGGGAGATGCAAACGATCATTTTTAACAAAAGCAAAAAGGTCCTTTTCGAGTTCAGATTAGGAGACCAATCATTCACAACCTCAGATCACGACACAGTTTTCAGACTAAAATATCCGCCGACCTATGAATAATTGCAGAGAATGATGGAACTGCACGGACAAGATAATAGCCGAAGGTATTATGTTCTGAACGACGATCATGCAATACCCATCAACATTAACTCGAAGGCTTTGGACATTAGAGCACAGGATCGATGCCGCGGTTAAGCCATAGAGAGCGCGTTCTGAACGTAAAACTTCTCGGAATATCGGGTGGATCCGCTTTCAGAAAAAAAACAACGAAACGCGTTTTTTCATATATTTGTTCACACGCTCCATTGATCAAAGGAAGAATTGGTCACGCATATTGTCGTCACCGTCGGTAAAACAAACCAATCAATAAGCTTACCACTGACAACCGAACAGAAGGGTTAGCTGAATGAATATCTGATATACGCGAATCATTGTGGCAATTACGGTGTTGTAAAAGGCCCACAGACGCCTGGGATGGCCTGTTAAGGCTGGGACGCAAGATAGACTGGAGCGACTATCTCAAACCCCTTGTGCATGTTTAGTAATAACTATTCAGAACTAACCGACTGCTACTAAAGTTCAGCTCTACCTTTTCCGACCTCAGATGGCTGGCCTCATTAACAAATGACTCGATCACGGTTATATGGCATAAAGAAGGAGACAACCCTTAAACGTTTCCTGAAAAATACTCTTCATCAGCAATTTACAGGAATTATTTTCTTGACAGTGGTTTATTCGTGCCATCATTTTTATAGTTTGTAATTTGGCGTAAAGACGGCTCTTCAATGCATCACAAAAGCTAGTGTCAATGTTTACAGAAAAGGCACAAACATTGTGTCCTTTTCAGTCTGTTTTTCGGAGTATTATATTTCCTAAATTTGTCATTGGCTTCCCAAGACACTCGTAATTTCTCCAAGCGTTAATACAGATAACACTTAAACGGCGTTAAAGAAAAGTAAAGGGGAGCGGTGGGAGTACTCCCACGAACGAAAAATACGTCCTTTTGTTTGACTTAGGTAGTAAATTGTACAGCTAAGCGGTCGACAGGCGGCAGACAGACATCAAAACAAAATTCCCATATTCCAACTAAGATACAGTTGGATATACAATATTCCCCAGTGTTAATAGGGACTTACTACCTTTAGAAGTCTCCAAATCAGCTGACGATGAGGACACAGATGATTTGAATGGACACAAGTTTTGCTGAGATGAAATCCCGATCAGCTCAGAAAAACACATCACAAATAAATGCTTCAAGAATTAGGATCAGGTACTAACGCGTGTGAAGATTCTGAAATGTCTTTGTTCTGAATAGGGCAAAGTTCTACTGTAAGCACCTGCGAAGTACTTATACCAGGATGGGTATTCAAAAATTTAAGGTATAGCAATATCAATACGGAGGTGAATGTTCGTATTCCAGGCGTCTGTATGCCCAAGATTGAACACGATCGGTCGAACACCGAAACAATGCGTTTATCTGTCTGAGTACTAGAACTCCTGCAGGAGTCCTTCATCAGGTGGGAGAGCGACGACAAGTCAGGCGACAATTATCGGGGGTGATTGACAATCATCGGTAAGTAGTTGGCTATGCAGGACTATACGCCGACACTTAAAAAGTTCATCGATCGACTGAGTCCTAATTTGAGGTTCAGGCCCCAAGCGATTCTCGGCTTGTCTTGTTTTTGACTTAGCCTATTATCTCGGACACTCTGAATTTAAGCTCGTTATGCGCGCTGTTTGAATTCGACTTGAATTTATTTGTCTTTCCAAGTTTTGACATTTTGGTCACCCGTCTCTGCCCAGAATTACAGCCCGCCGAAATAAACCGAGAAATCAGTTTAATGTGAAAGTAACCTCCGCTTTCACGGATGTCATTATCCGCGATATCTTCATCGTTAACTGGGGCTCTCAGGGAACCACTGTCTGGAGATTAACGAAGTATCCGGCTCGGTTTAGTTCAGATTCATAAGAATACAGGTTCTATCGTGCTTGGGAAGTTAATCTTCCGTCGATGAAGTGCTCGAAGCCCGGCAGAAAACGAAGACTACTGAGAACCTGTCTGCAAAGGCTAAGCCGTTCTTTGCTTCCAACTGACATTAGATACTGAGTTCCGTTTAGAAAACAGCTTTACTTTGCGCACAGTAAAGTTGTAACTTAATAATTAACTCGCCCGCTATAACTTAATGCAACCTCAAAGAAGTCTGGCTAGCATGGGGAATGAAAACGTCCATGACCCAGTAGGATCATGTACTTAACCACTCCAAGGCAGCCGGACGTCCGGACTCTCACCCAAACGAACGGATAAAAATGAGGACGATGGTAGAGGAAATGAGAAAACGTCAGAGCGAGGAAGAAGGTAATCTGAAAATAGTAAACAACCATAGTGTAAAAGTACAGCGTTCCTTTTTGTATAATCATCTGGTAACATTGAGGTTAAAAGCACCGGCGCTCGATTCTGACAAACCTCAGTAA